TGCAGCTGTGCTGTACATTAGTTGGTTTGTTTCTTGCAGTGAATTGGTGCTTATACTTGCTATTGCAGTATTTGCATCTTTTAATGCTTGTGCTAGCTGTTTCTTTGAACAAGCTTCAATGCAGGTAGCCTTATTCTGTTGTTTTTGTGCTGTTCTAGATGCTCAGTTATTCTTTGTTTCAATTCTTTTATTTCTTTAGTTAGAGGGTTTTGTTCTTCCTGAGGAAGAGGTGCCTGGTTTCCAAATGAGAACAGTTGTATATCTCTACTGGATTCTTTCACTGCCAACTCCCCCTGGTTTGCCTCTACATTCTGAATTACTTCTGGTAAGGCTTTGATTTCTTTGCCCTGGGTAAACCTTTGCAGTTCGTCCAATTCTGTTTCTGTGAATACTTTATTTCGTATTATAAATCGGCGTTGATCTGCTAGTCTCTGTTCTGTTATTTCTGATTCTGGATGTTGTTCTTTCCAGAACTGGTGCATTCGTTTTAGATATCCTCTTCTTGTTGGACTTGAACTGTAGTAACAGATCATTATTTCTTTGTTTTCCATCACTGTGTATCTGCGACGGGTAAACACCTTTTCTTCCAGTAGTTCTGCAGCTGCTGGCCCTGGTTGCTCAGCCAACAGTCCTGAGTCCTGTAACCCATTTTTCACCAGATATCCAGGACCTCCAATATCTAGCGTGGACCTTGTTAACCCGGGCGACGTCCGAGCCGGTATGGCATTCTGCAATTTACGTCTCACCATATTTTTATGGGAGAGACACTCTTTGTCTGACTCCTCTGATGAGACCTGTCCAGTATGGTTGAACCTCTGGCATAGCTCTCATCTTCCTCAGAGTACACAAGCCCCACAACCACGTCAAGATAGTGCCTCACTGGGGGTTATTATTATTATTATTATCATCATCACCAAATTATCTCTATTTCTTTAGAAGGATATACAGAGAACACAAATAATAATAATAATAATAATAGTAATAATAATAATAATAATAAAGTTGGAAGGTACCTTGGAGTTCATCTAGTCCAACCCCCTGCTCAGGCAGGAAACTCTATATCATTTTGGACAAATGGCTGTCCAGTCACTTCTTAAAAATTTCCAGTGTTGGAGCACTCACCGCTCCTGGAGGAAGGTTGTTCCACTGGTTAATTGTTCTAACTGTCAGAAAGTTCCTCCTTTGTTCTAGGTTGCTTCTCTTCTTGATTAGTTTCCATCCATTGCTTCTTGTCCTGCCTTCAGGCGCTTTGAAAAATAGCTTGACTCCCTCTTCTTTGTGGCCCCTGAGATATTGGAATACTGCTATCATGTCACAGAGAAATTTTGAGACTTGAAAATGTTTTAATGGTGGTTTCCTAATTCCTGATCATTTCCACAAAATTATAGTGCCTTATATCCATGTTTCATGGCCCATAGTATTTTCTGAAGTTCCCCAGGCAGATTTAAAAAGACTAGAGCAGGGGTCCCCAACCCCCAGTCCATGGACCGGCACCGGTCCACAGCATGCCAGAAACTGGTCCATGCAAACAAGCGAAGCCCCACCTACAGGATGCAGGCAGCACGCAAAACCATGCCCCCCCCCCCGGTCCATGAAAAAAACTCTCTCCATGGAACCAGTTCCTGGTGCCCAAAAGGTTGGGGACCTCTGGACTAGAGAATAAATTTCCTAGGATTTATTCCCAACATTAATATTTCCATGATTGTTCCTAATCTATAGGCCTTCAAATATTTTAGACTAAACCAGGTGCAAGCAAACAGTACCCGAGAGCAATAGTGCTCACATAGTCACCTCTTGGCTTTCCTTTCCCTAGTTTTTTTAAAATAATCTTTAAAAAAATGAAGGCATAATGGAAAATAAGCCATAAGATCTAGATTCTAGAGTCATGGTGGTACAGTGGTTAGAATGCAGTATTGCAAGCTAACTCTGCCCACTGGCAGGAGTTTGATCCTGACCATCTCAAGTTTGACTCAGCCTTCCATCCTTCCAAGGTCAGTAAAATGAGGACCCAGATTGCCTGGGGCAATATGCTGATACTTTAAACAGGTTAGAGAGTGTTGTAAAGCAAGGCTTTTCAACCTTTTCACAGATTGTACCACTTTTAGGACTTGATAATATTTGAATACCACCAGTGCTTAGCAAGGTGTCAAAAACTTGATGACAAAAAGAAATGGGGGGGGAGGGAGATTTTGCTTTTTACTGATTAGATTCATTTGTTGTTATAAAAATGTCTAGTTTATAATATTATGGAAAAGTAAAAAGTTGAGGTTCAATGTTAATGCTTCCTTCTACTGCAACAGAGGAAGTCTGTTCTTTTTCCCTTCTCCCCCCCACTTGTTCCCCCTTTTTCCTCCCCACTGTATCCTACTATTTGCTTTTGTATTTTTGTATTTTATTCTATAATCTAATAAAATGTTACAAACTGTAGAAAAAAGTAAAAAAGTACTGGTTTTAATTTCTTCAGCAGCTGTTCCTTTGCTGAATCACTTTTCCTTTGCACTGGCAAATGTATGATGAATTTATCCATGTTTATTAATATGCACCACTACCAGCTAGCTCAGGGGTCTTCAAACTTCACATTTTTAAGACTTGTAGACTTTAATTCCCCGAATTCCTCAGCCAAGCCGAGCCAGTCCTGCAGCTCCAGCTGCCTCTCCCTCAGGCTTGGGTCTCTCCAGCTCATTCCCCTCCCCCGCTACACTTCTCTAGGACGGTCACGTACTACCTGCCATATGCCAAAGTAACACAGGTGGTACACGTACCACCGGTTGAAAACCCTGTTGTAAAGCACTATGAAGCAGTATATAAATCTAAATGCTATTGCTATTGAAGTTAATTTCAGGCATTTTTAAAAAAAATAAAGATAATGGATGACTTCAGTGTCAAATTGCTAAGATAAAGAAGAAAAAGATAATTAGGGCTTGTAAAAAGGACTGACCAGAGGATGATGTACATAGTATTATGAAAAGAACAGATTTACAGCTTTCTTTTGTGTTTAAACTATGCTTCATAATAATCTCATGGGAGCACCTACTATATAATCTCAATAGTCTAAATGTGCTCCTGGGCCTGAAAAATTACTCAATAGCTCAAAGTCAGAGAAATAGGAACCTGGAAAATAATTTGAGATATAAAATGTGAAGCAACTTGCAATAGTCCTACTTCATTCTTTAAACAAATCCTGGAATTCAGTCAACTGTGCAGTCTTTAATTTCTCTCTTCCAGAAAACAGACTTATTGGTTTAGCTGCAGGAAGAGAAACAGTAAGTCTACTGCTCAGCACCTAAATATTTTCACTCCTTTATTTAGGGCAGGGGTCCCCAACCCCCAGTCTGTGGACCTGTACCAGGACGTGGCATGCCAGCAACCAGTCCACACAAACAAGTAAAGCCCCATCCATGGGATGCAGGCAACACACAAAACCACGCACCCTCCGGTCCATGGAAAAACTTCTCTCCACAGAACCAGTCCCTGGTGCCCAAAAGGTTGGGGACCTCTGATTTAGGGTATAACTGTGAAATTCATTCACAGAAGCAGACTTTTGGTGTTTACTAGATTAGAGTTAAACTAAGTTTCTGGCTGCTGACACTTCAGGGGGTTAAGTACAACAAAACCCAAGACATCTTTGGATCACCTGAAAGCTATTTAGCAGCTTCTGGATATCTGGTATCTAGAAAAAGCCTGTGCAAAGCGATTACTAAACTTTGATATGCTTGACATATATATCTCTTGCCTCCTGGATGCAGTTTTAGTAGTGCTAAAGAACTACAATATATAAGCATATGGCGATGCTTTGTTGTTTTCTTGGGTTTTTTTCTTACTATACCCTGCAACTGAATCTGGAATTTTTAACTGTTTTTACCATTATCACTACTTGAAAGGAACCTACTGGATAAATATAAACCTTATAATAATTGGATTGAAAGTTGGATGATTTGTCTTTTTATGTACCTATATAACTTGAGATGAGCATAACAATGGACATTTCTCCCTGATCCAGTATACCAGGATTTCTTTTCACAAAAAATATACCTATTGGTACAATATTTTAAAGCTTTTCCATACAATTTCTTCAAAACGTGTAGCTGGTTGAGTCAATGATCCTGTTTCATGCTTAAAAACATTTGTTGTCTGATAACTTAAAAATTCAGGGTTCTAGTAAAATGGAAAGCAATAATCAAGAAGGTATATGCAGAATGTACTTATCTCAAGCTGTATATTAGCTAAACATGCATGCATATAGATTTTGGGATGAACATTTGGGGAAAGAGTATTCTAATATCTATTATTTAATTATTGAATAAGTGTGTGGGTATTGGTTATGGCTCTACCAACTTTTGTATTTATTCTTTGTTCTGGAAAATGGGGAAATAGGGTAATTGGGATAATGTATATCACTAAGAATCTGTCAATTATTTAATTGTTAAATAAATGAAATTAATATGCATAAATAACACCAAGGAAGTATATTTTTAAAAAAATCCCAGGAAAAGGCTTTTCCTGTGACAGTTATAATGCAGTAAATTGAGTGGGTGCAGAACTACTGTTGGTTGAAATATGGGGAGGGGGGAATCTTACATCGAGAAGATTTGAAATCTCATCGAACAGGAGCAGTGAGATGGGAAATGCTGTCTTCTAGGTAATAAAATGTTCATTTTTTCCCCCTTGATGTCAAAATGCAGGTTTAATAAAGTACAGTAGATTGGTATATAATAAAATGCTGGCTATTTTGAGTGTGATCTCTCCCTCTCTTTCTCTGTAGATGATTGATAGATTGATAGATCGATAGATTGATAGATCGATAGATAGATAGATAGATAGATAGATAGATAGATAGATAGATAGATTTTTTTTCTATATGTGTGAGTCTGTATATGCATACTTGCCTGCAAATACGCATATAGGCACACACATATGTATAAACATATTTCTGTGTATGTTGAGTTGGAGTTGGCTAACCTTAAAAAATCAATTTGCCTTGTCAATGCTTCCTGGAGTAGAATTCCACTTTTTGGTCCTTATCCCAGGTAAGACAATATTTGCAGTTGTGTTTTGTATAAAATAACAGATATTAAAATGAACAGATATTGCTAAAACATTTTAGGTACCTTTGAGTATAAATTGGTTGTTATGGAGACTGGTAAAAATAAATGCTGATATATTGTCCTGGGTTCATTCCTTCTAGCCTGCTGAAGAAAATTGAACGTGAAACATGGAGAGAAAGTGGTGTTTCATTAATCGCCACTGTAACCCGTCTTATGGAGAGACTGCTAGACTACAGGTGAGCAATAGAGGCATACTTTACAGAAAGAAATATTGTGTTGTCTGCATTTTTCTAAAACGAATTATTTTGGGAAGAATATAAAAATGCACGTATCAGTCATCAAGTTGTCAGGTTTTGTATATTAAGAATACTGGATTTTGTACATTACAAAATGTAGTCATATAGGTCATGATGAATTTATGTTTGAATAGTGCCCCACATCTTAGACTCCATATCTGTTGAAACCTTACATGCTACAGAGAAGACTTCTAGCAGAATTAGAATGACATGCAATCTTTCTGTGTTCAGGAAGTTCTTCCCTTCCCTCTAATTTTGGGGTGGCATATTCAGGAAATATTTATGGAATCTAATTATTCCTAATGTATAACCAGTTGTAATCAGAAGTCTTATAGTAATGTAAATCTGTAGATGACCTTGATACCGGTTGCATTTCAATAAAAGCTAGACTTACTTTTAGTACCATTAAAATCAGGGGTATTTGATCTGGGGTATCATGAAAGGGCAGAAAATTAGTGAGTTAATGTATTATTATGGATCATCGCACAGTCAGCCAGATGTTCAGACTGGATTTGGCATTTTGTCTACCTATCGAGTCCTTACCCAGGACCTGGGATAGGCAGATGTGGATGTTTGATGGTATTACAGATATCTTCGCAGGATGGAAGCAGTTCCTAATAAGGCTGCCTTTTGCAATTGACTAATAGCGAATTTGTCAATGCCAATGGTGTTCAAGTGGTGCTCCAGTTGTTTTGGGATTGCACCCAAGGAGCCTATTACTATTGGTACTACCCTTGCTTGCTTTTGCCACAGTCTTTCTATTTCTATTTGTAGGTCTTTGTATTTGTTATCTTCTCCAGTTCTTTCTCGTCTATTCTGCTGTCTCCAGGCACTGCCACGTCCACTATCCAGACTTTTTTGTCTTTCTTATCGACAATTGTTAAGTCTGGGTGTTATGTTGCAGGTGCTTGTCTGTTTGAATTCTGAAGTCCCAGAGCAGTTTAATTTTATCATTTTCTATGACTTTCTCTATTTTATGATCCCACCAGTTTTTGCTTACAGGCAAATGATATTTTTTGCAGATCTTCCAATGCACCATTGTTGCTACTTTGTCATGCCACTGCTTGTAATCAGTCTGTGCAATGTTCTTGTAACAGCTTACCAAGTGGCCACTGTTTCTTCAGCTTCTTTGCATAGGTGGCACTTACTGTCTGTTGCTGTCTTCTCAATTTTGACTTTGTATGCATTTGTCCTTAAGGCTTGGTCTTGTGCAGCCAGAATTAGTCCCTCGGTCTCTTTCTTCAATTTTCCTGCTCTTAGCCATTGCCAGTTTTTATTATTATCTGCTTTCCCAGCTATTTTTTTCATGTATTGGCCATGTAGTGCTTTGTCTTTCCATGCCTCTATTCTGTTCTTCATTTGGTCTTTCTTGTAGGCCAGTTTGGTCTCTCCAGTAGTTAGTAAGCCTTCCTGATATACTAATTTCAGTGCATCTTCATCATTGTTCTTCAGATATTCTTCCAAAGCCATTTTTCTTCTTCAACCATCTGATGTACTTGTAGCATTCCACGCCCACCTAGTTGCCTTGGTAGATAAAGTCTATCAATGTCACTGCGTGGATGAAGGGCATGATTCATTGTCATTATTTTTCTGGTCTGCCTATCCATTGCTTTTAGTTCTGCTTGAGTCCAGTCCACTATTCCATCTGTGTACCTAATGACTGGGATTGCCCAGGTGTTGATTGCCTTTATGGTATTTCCTCCATTGAATTTGGACTTTAAGATCTTCTTCACTCTCTTGATGTATTCACCTCTAATCTTTTTCTTGACTTCAGTGTGCTTGATGTTGTCAGCTTGAAGGATACACAAGTATTTGTAGTAATCTTCCTCATCCAGACTCTTAATGTTATTTTTGTGGGGCATCTTGATTCCTTCAGTTTTCACTACTTTTCCTTGTTTGATAGTAAGTGTGGCACATTTGTCCAAGCCAAACTCCATTACAATATCTTGGCTATATATACGGACAGTGTTGAGCAGCGATTCTAATTCAGATGATGTTTTTCCATACAGCTTCAGATCATCCATATAAAGGAGGTGGGATAGTCTTGCAGATGTTTTTGATGTTTGATAGCCATGTCCTGAGTTATTCAGTATTGTTGACAGAGGAAACAGCGCAATAACAAATAGTAATGGTGATAATGAATCTCCTTGAAATATTCCTCTCTTGATATTAACCTCTCCCAGCCTCTCACCATTGATCTGCAACTGTGTCTTCCATTGTGCCATCGATCTTTGTACAAATTTTCTGATGTTTCTACTGACTCCTGTTATTTCTAGGCACTTTATTATCCAATCATGTGGCAGAGAGTCAAATGCCTTTTTGTAGTCAATCCATGCCCCATTCAGGTTGGTCTTCCTTCTCTTGCAGTTTTCCAAGATCATTTTGTCTATTAGGAGTTGATCTTTTGTTCCTCTGCTATTGGGGCGGTTTCCTTTCTGCTCGGTGGAAAGAGATTGTTTTCAACTAGATGCTGTTGTACTGCATCAGCTACCACACCAGTTAGTAATTTGAAAGTTGTTGGTAAACAGGTAATTGGCCTGTAGTTGCCTGGTGTTGCCCCTTTTGCTGGATTTTTTATTATTAGGTAGGTTTTCCCAGTTGTTAGCCACTTTTCAATTTCTCCTCCTTGTAGTATATTGTTGAACTGCTTGGAAATGAGTGGATGATTATTATTATTATTATTATTATTATTATTATTATTATTATTATATTTTAGTGTTCGGAGAAGAATGCCTGTGCAATTTTCTGTCTATAATGAGAAAATAAGTTGATTGGCATTAGATACCGTGCATATCAACATGAAATTGGCAGGGGCTAGGAATGAGGTGATATTTGCTCTTCTACCTTAGACAAGAAAAAGGTTTTCCTCTATCCTTGATCATCCTTGTTATACTATGTCAAGAATGAATTCAATGTGAGATAGCTCCTTTATCACATAAAAAATGTATTTAGTGTTGTCTTTATTTTTGCTGTATGAGGTTCTACAACTGGCAGAAATCTAGAAAATGAATCATCTTAGACTCTTTACCTGTCTGATGCTCTCCAGTTGCACTGAACTATGCTTTCTGAAATGAGTAACAGGACAAGCCATTGTACCACATATACAGTATAAAGGATACCATGTAAGAAGATTGCTCTAAATTCTGGGAATAGTTTATCTTTGCTGATCTTTAAAAGCTATTGGCTTCCATTTATTCTTGCAAGGGCACCAAATTTCATCTCTTCATGCAAATAATGGGAATGAATCTGAATCCTAAGAACAGGAATAGTTTTTATATTCTTACATCTTTCAAGCTGTGCTTCATTGCTACCAATAATCTTTTATTGGGCAGCACTTGAAAGGCCTACATTTAACAACAGATAAAAAATTTAATTTGCATTGCCAATGATGTTAATATGATATTTAGCTATAATTTTAAAAATCATGTAATATGTCACAAAAATATTCCTGTTGCAAATGTGGATGGTAATGCTGAATAGATGGTTTCCTGATGATCAACTTCAAGGCAGAGACAAGATCCAAAGTTGGGATTTACTAATTCAGTCTCTTTATTGTGAGGTTGACAATGCTATACTCTGGTTCTGTTAGTGTTCTAAGCACAGAGATTCTCACTGTCAGACCTGCCTCAGTCAGGACTCTTAGGAAAAAGACATTGACTCCATTTGATTGAAGTGATAGGTTCTTTTATTAAAGTTCATCTTCAGCCAATGAAGAGCTGCATATGTGTTTTGAAAACACTGAGATATTTGTGGGTCTCGGGGTGTGTGGCCTTGAGAGCTAGCACAAACTGGTTCCATGCTTTCCTGGTCTTTGTCAAGCTGTCAACCCCCTCCCTATTTCCCATCACATCCCCATACATGTTTACAGTATTGCGTATTTGTCCTCCTCCCTTTCTTGCCCACTTCCTCCTAACCTTTGATGGCAGGATGCCAGCAAGGTGCCAATTCAAACATGGCAGATCTAACATACTGTTCTCTTGACAGAGTGGTTAGTTCTGCAGAGGAAACCAGAAACCAGAGGGGAGACACACAAAAAATGCATAATTAATTATTTGGTCATTTAGGTTTCTCTGGGTACTGTTGATAGAACTTTTTAAATAGTTTGCATGCTTTAATATTTTTGGAATCCACCCGTTCAATTTCAGAGGGAGGGAAGTCCTTCCACACTACTAAATACTGGATTTTCCCCAATGTGTGTGAGAGTCCACTATGTCTTTGACCTCAAAATGTTGCTCTCCTTTGATCATAATTGGATCAGGAGGCGGTAGCATTTTTGGGTGTAGGGAGGCTGCAGTGAAATACTCGATGAATGCTTTTGAGGGTGTTTGGTAATTCAAGTTCCACAGTCACTGGGTTAATAACTCTTAGATGGGGAAAGGAATAAATATTTTGGACCCAGTGTTTTTGAAGGTTGTTTAAATTGCTAGTACTTAGTGGATAAATAGACCTTGTCCCCAGCTTTAAAGTCTTTTGGCTTCACGTGCATTTTGTCTGTTTTTTATATGCTTCTCTTGCCTCCTCCAGACTCCTCTGACTACCAGCCAGGTGTTTTGCTGGTAGGAGACGGCGAGTGGGGTGACCTGGGACAGTTCGAGAATAGATAAAAATTCCTGCCCTGTGGTTACCTTAAAAGGAATGAATCCAGTGCTTCTTTGTACTGAGTTATTGTAAGCAACTTCAACAAAAGGAAGAAGGTCCCCAAAATTGTCCTGTTGATAATTAATATAATATCTACAAAACTACTCCAGGACCTCATTCACAGGCTCCATTCATTTCTAGATGATGTGAGGAGTTAAGTCCCTGAGTGCTCCCCAAAAGTTTTAAAAACTCTTGCCAAAACTGCATAGTAAACCCCACAATTGGAGATTATTCTTTCTGGGGCTCCATGCAGTCTATAGAGGTGCTGCATGAACAAATAAAGTACGAGCAGAAGGGATCTA